TGCCAGGTGCACAAGAAGCTGGGAGGGTGCATAGCCAAGACAGCTGACCCAAACTGACCAAAGGGCTATTCCATACCATATGACATCATGCTCAGTATATAAACTGGAGGAGTTGGCCAGTGGGCAGTGATTGCTGCTCAGGGTTGGGCAGGGCATTGATTGGCGGGTGGTGAGCAATTGCATTGTGCATCACTCGCTTGTTATATTCTTTTTATCACTATTATTATTATTTTTGTTGTTGTTATTATTACTATTTTACTTTATTTCAATTATTAAACTGTTCTTATCTTGACCCATGAGTTTTCTCATGTTTACTCTTCTGATCCTGTGTCCCATCCCACCAGGGGCGATTGAGCAAACAGATGTTTTGTGCTTAGTTGCTGGCTATGGTTAAACCACAACATTAGTAGATGATTGGAATGATGTGAATGTAACAAATTTCATTCTAATTCAGCTTTTGATGAATACTTGAGGTTTTCATGAAATCTTGCAAACTGTATATTCTTTTGGATATGAACAATTGGGCAGAGTAAAAACTGACTGAAGTAAAGGAAAAATGTTAAAGCATTTTGACAGTCTTTTTGGCTTTAGTAAAACGAAGTATTGCTGATTTGAAAGTTTTATGCTACATTATTTCTCTTTTATCCACAAAATTTTTTAATCCACACAATCAGCTGTGGACTGTGTACTAACAAATAGCGGCCTCTTTGAGGATATTTAAAAATTCTCAGTCATACAACTTATCATTTTCTCTTTCCATATAATTCCTACTGTAATCAATCACAGGCCTGCAACAGGCAGGATTTTTTCCTCTTCCCCACCTGGATTTCGGTGGATCTCTGTAGGGGTTCTCCTTCACATGTATCCATTGATTCGTGCAGAGCCAAGGCCTGAGAGTTCAGGTTGGGACCACTTTGAAACAATGACCCTAAGTGTAAAAAAGCCAGAGAATAATGACAGTTATCAGAGAGAGGGCAAAATATAAACTCTTCAACTTCAGTTGCCTAAATATTTGTCTAGAGCCATTTAAGATGGATTTGGCTTCAGTAGAGAGCTCCAGAAGGTTATAGGTTTCATACAGGTCCTGTGCCATATTTTCTGGCACTTTGTGGATATCTCAGATGCCATAAATCATCAAAGGATTGCTAGACATAAAAGTTTACACAACTGAATTGAGCCCTTTAGTCTATAGGTAACCTTTTAATAAAATTTTCCTTCTTTGGCACTCTCATCAGTCTTTATTTCTGGTCTGCTTCAGGACTGCTAGCCAGCTTTGTTGTCCCTTGTAAAGCATTTATGAAACTCTAAGTTATAGTTGTAAGCATGAGCAGTACAAATTTTGCTCTTTCTTATTCTGCTTGCCACAGCATGTTCAGTATTGTAGCGATATTAGTCAGGGGTATGGTTTGGCCAATATTTTAAGCTCTGTCCTCATTACATCATAAAGGGAATACGTTATCATAAACCTTCCTTAATAGCTAAATGGCATTTCTTGATATGGTGAATGTTATTTATCTAATATAACACCATGATAAAATGCATTGTCAGATGATTGTCCAAATTTTTACCAGTAAAAGGTGCACACATGTCAAAGGCATAATTTTGATGCATCAATAATTGTATTAAGGAGAATTTATTACCTGGAAGAGATTAAATGTTGATCCCTACACATATATTCATAGATGTAATATTTTCTTGGTTGACATCACAAAAATAACCATAATGGAAACCTTAGAAGGATATCTAAGAAGATTCTTTGGGTGCATTGAATTAAACACTGAGAGACAGAACATACTTTAAGCCTCCCCCACCTTCCTTTTTTTGTCTAAGATCTGCTCATTAAAAATAAAATCGAGGATACAGCCCAGACTCAGTGTTTATTGATGAGTAATATGTGACATTCAAGTCAGCAGTTATATTTGTAAAATATCTGTATTTTTAATTTCCCCCTGTTTAGGAAGCAGTTTGAGAAATTCATTGCAGTATTCAAAGAAAAACTCCTTATTGGGACCTTAAGGTAGGGAGGAGAGAAATGCGAGAGGTAATATGGGATGTGCAGATGTGAGCATTATTAATTCTTTTACCACCAGCAACAATGAACTGATAAAATTCATTCCAACACATTATTTTAAGAATATTTAAAATTTTTGTAGTCATTTAAGATGTATCTTTGCAAAAAAGAAACAAGCTTAATATGACTATGTGAGACGTTTTTCTTCCCACCTCATTCCCATTCATTTCTTCCCACCTCACTAAGCTTGATGCATTTAACCAGCCATATGCAAGATTCTGACTTTTTTTAAAGCTGTAATAGTGTGAAAGTGAGTTTTAAACTCCCCTAACAGCAATCAGTAACATAGAGAAACAGGAGGCTGTGGTGCCCACTCAAAGCTAACCAGCACATTCAAGTATTTTTTTTGCAGTATTTTTTTATGAACAGACCTAGAATGATTCACCAAACAGAGAGTATTTACATTATTTTTAGCAAATGCATTTCACTGTACTGAAGAAGTAATCAGAGTTGCAATTAACACAAACTAAAACCAATAAAGACTGTGTTTTCAGGGATCATTGATTTAAAATAAATTAATTCCTATCCCATGAAATTTCCATTTAGTTCATATTTTTATTTTATACCATTATCAAGATATTTGCATACAAATACATTGTTGTAATGGAATAATGCACAAAAAACAACGGAAAAATATGTATGTTGTTGCATGTTCTATGTGTAATATAATATGGAAAGCTAGTAATATATGTCTAGGTTAAACACATGATAAAAATTAACGAAAAATTAGCCATTAATGATAAGGAAAAGGAATGAGTTCTATAGTTAAGATCTAAAGTGGGCTGAGGAAAAAGATTGAGGACATCTTACCAAATCAATTAAAGAAGGAAAATTTGAACTCAATAATACAGATGAGAGCCTTCAGGTAGAAGTAGGAAAAGAGCAACAAAAGGGAACAAAGATTGCTACACAAAGCAGCAAATCTAAAAGGAGACCACAGATCTCTGTAGTCTGACTCATATCACAAACCTGATTCTGCTGGAAATTAACTCACAGAAAAAAAATAAAGCAGGAAAACTGGGGAGTTATCCTCCATGCTTATAAATTACTGCAAAAATACTGACTTCAATGGATATAAACTGTGCAATGCTGTTTGAGTATATAGCATGCAGGGTCTTTCTATACAATACAGACATTTTGTCTGTCGCTATGTTTAGCAATGACTTAGCCAATTTTTTTCCTTCCTGTCACTGTTGATGTGCTTTGCAATTTCCCACCTTTCTGCTGACCTCCACAACAGAGATGGTATTATTTCAGCTGTGGCATTTTGAGACAACTGTAGTTGAAATACTAAATAAATCTAAAAAATGCATCCATTGCTTTCATTTTCTCCAGGCTACACTTTATCCTCAGCTATGCTGATACAAATCCAAAGCAAATGAAAAGATATGTGGTCAGGTTTTGACAGATGGAGGAAAAGTAGATGAATAGAGTCAATATAAAGTAAAGATTTCACCTGAGTAGCTAGAGGTGTGCCAATGTGAAGATATGTAAATACTGAACAACTGCAAGGAAAATTAAATGATGTACAAAGCTAAAAATGGTTATGCCCGAGACATAAACAAAAATATGAGAGGGAAAAAAAGATGGAAAAAATATAATTTCAGAGGAGGCAGTTTGAGACATTCTTCTTAATTTCTTTTAATTTTTTTCGTGAAGAAAGTAACTGTAGGTGAATGTTTTTAGATAATGGATACTGAAAACTGTTCCTGTCTTTCAAAAGGATTATTTTTTACTTTCTGAAACATGAATGATCCATAGGCACCAGATGTTAATTTTTTTTTTATGTAAGCCAAAGATACTAGCTTTAGATTTCTTTGAGTAGTTTAGAGACGTGTTGTCAATCTATGCATTTTAAATAACAAAGAGACCACTATTATCAGTTTTCAAGACATTTCAGTCACTATACTTATTATTTTTTCATTACTTCACCCTATATGTCTAATCCTTTGACACTTCTGTATTTGCGGTATCTGGGATCAAGATCTCAAAACATGAAGGGCATCTCAAAACATGAATTTCTTAAAACATTAAGAAGTACTTTCACACAATTTTATTGAAGGCAGATTTATTGCTGAATGAACTGGAATTTCCACCTCTTTCCAGCTCCATAGCTGCCACTGGCATCTTTCTTGAGTGTCGTCATACCTCTCATCTCCCCAACACAGCAAGAATTTCTTCCCCTTTCCCCTGCTCCCTTTAGGAAGATGTCTGGATTCTTTGAAATGGTGTCATACATGTATGTGGAAGATCATACAATGCTGCCACTTTTTTCCCATGACCTTGTGATTCAACAGACTAGCGGGCAATGAAGTAATTATAAAAATGAGCAATCAGCAGAATGTTGCTTAAATAACTTTCCTCAAATTAAATCATTGAAAGGTAATGCAGAATTAAACACAGGCATGAAAAAAGATAATTGCATTTTATATGTTATTTCCTAAATCACCTATTCATGAGCTCAGACCTGCAGTCAGGATTTCATTGATCAACATGTGTTGATTTTTTTCAATAGTAATTTTGCTTGAAAATTTAACCCAAAATATTTTAATGTCCTCATATGCATAATTCTAAGACGTCTCAATGAAAAGTTAGGTTTTATTAGTTTATGAGGTCATTTATTCAATTTTGGTTATATCAGGGCTTTTTCGAGGAATCTTGACGTCAGACTATCGAATAGCACATTATGCCACTTTGTCTGATTACGTGATTTTATATGCTTTCTGGATTTTATCAGCTGGTTTCAAACACATTGGAAAAAAATATTAAAATAAATATATTTTGTGTCTGAGCTTTGTAAGAGAGAAAATAGTTAGAGCCAGTAGCATCTCCCCTGAATTTTAGGAGAATGGTATTACCCTGCCTTTCTCTGAGAGATTGCTGGTTACCTTCTGTCAGTGAGCAACTGTCTCACTGCAAAGCAGAAGCACGATCTCATCTCTTTTGTCTGTGTTCAAGGCAATTACTTCTTAGAAAGTGGAATTTCTTCAGAATGACTATGTACAAGAGCAAACGCAGAAACCAAAGATGTAAGTAAATTGTGAAGTTTTTTTAATGTTCTTACAGAGGAAGGAAAATAAATCTCCAGTTTCATTGAAAACCATGCTTTACTTTACCCTGCTCTGGTTAAATAATACCAGGAAAGCAGGAACAGTATTCCCTGCCAATTATCCCACTGTATCTGTATTTTGAGTGCATGAAAGAGTTTTAAAATAAAAAATTAGCTTACTTGTTACTATGGAAACCCTCAGTAAGTGATTGCTTTATAATATCAACAAAGAAATAAAGATCAAATATAAGTTTAGTTCAGACCAGTATCCTTTATTGAGGGCTTAATGACTGGCTAGCTATAGCCTTTGACTTGACAGGGTTGACAAGCTTTCACTTGGTGGACTTATTTATGTGGTTCACTTTAGGGAGCCAGTGATACCAGAACTTTAAGGGCAGTTATTGTATTTTCCTTCACCACAACTTTCAGAACAATTAACTTGTTTGCTTAAACCATAGAAACAGAAACTAGCGGGGAGGGAAGCATGCATGTGTCTCTGTTGTGTATTTAAGACACTCCAGCCCTGAAAATTCACTGGCTTCTAAATGCATGAGTTTCCAGTCAAGCACCTGTTTGGCTTTTAAATTGCTATGGTATCAGCTGGGGGAATTTCAGTACAAATCTTCTCCAGAACATTATGGAAGGGTGACTGAGGCAAGTAAAAATGAAGTGTTGTGAGTCAGGTCATGAAGTATGTGTTCTTGTAAGGAAATCTAGCAAGAGGCCAAGTTATAAATGGAGAGCATGTCTGAGGTTGAGAAAAAAAGACATTTCTCTAAGAAAAATGCCATGTAGGGACTGTGTGCTTTCAGAGAGAGAGCAGGAGGAGAGGTATATCAGTTCAAAAGAAGATAAGTTTGGACTTTATTTGGACAGGAGCATTGTTGAAGGGATATATACAGCTATATCACTGACCTCAGTTTCTGGTCCTTAGATCTTAACCTGTACAGGTTTCCTTCAGTTTTTCTTGCCCAAAACAAACGGATGTGTTGCATGTAGAAAGTTTGCAGGACAGATCTCTGCTAAAATTTCTGCAACGGAAATCAATCATCTGCTTCACATTCAAATAAAATAAATTATCATAAATTTTGTTCCCATAGCAGCAGTGAAAGAAAATTATTTATATACAGGCAGATTATAATTAATCTAGTTCATTTTAACATACTAATTACTATCACTGTTATTATGTAAACCGGGAGCTCTTTCTGCAGCCAGCTGCATTCTTGCATTCTCTCCTGTTCAAGCCTGGTTATGGTGTACAATAACAAAATTTGTGACTGGGTAGCAGAGTTGTTAGGTTTTTATGTTGTAGGGATATAGTCATTCATGAAAACTGCACAAGGTGCTTTTAAGAATGCTTTTATGAAGAGAACCTGCCTTATTCCCCTTTCCCCTCCACCCCTGCTGACCCTGAGGAAAATCTGTAGTTTGCCAAGAGAAAAAAAAAAAAAAGAATGAAACATAATTAGACATAATTAGAATCAAATTAGCAAATATGAGGGTGGCTGTTGCAATGTTTTTTTGTTTTTAAAAGTGCCTCTAATTTTAAGATCCTAAACAATAAAATATCTTGATAAAACTGTCTCCATTATGTTAGATACCAGTACTGTATACATGGATGCTTCATTAATACCTCTTAGCTAATTAGCAACTGTAAAAGTCTTAAGAGGCAAACAGAACAATTTGAGTAATTTTGATATTGCTTCTATTCATATCAGTCAAAGGCTTTTTGAAGGATAGATTTCATCTAAGTAATTGTTATTCTGAAATACAAGTGGTAATGGTAGCAGCTGTGTTAAACAGTAGACAAGTACTACATTTTCTGTCCATTACATTTAACACATGTTCTATTTCAAACTTTCAAAGGCTTTTTTGGTGGCCTTTAATAAACAATAATAAAAGATATTTAGTGTATAATTTCCAATATATGTAGGGTAAACCTTGGGTTTTATATCTCCTCACTAGCTCTCAATAAAATACTTGGACATCTGGCATAAAACAAAAGTGAGCTTTGTGGCTTTTTCTTATTCATTGAAGTTCTGCTTCTGGATTTGGTACATTCTGAACAGTATTATAAGCATTGCTTTCCTAACCTATTTTTTTCTTTAATGTTTGAAGAAGGATGTAAAGGCATTTTGTACTTAATTTAAAAGTACATCAGATTAGAGAGGAGGATACAAAAAATAGAGACATGATGACCTTATTCTAACATAAAATATAAGGAATCCCATTTTCCAGTTTCTGTCCCAGACACAAGTGTTGCTAGAGGAGTAGATGCAAAAAAAATGAGTGTACTTATCTGTCTATATGAACGGGATAACATATACACACAATATCCATGCATACATGTGTCTGCACACCCAGAATTATAACATGCTTTATCCTTAATTCAGGATGCTATCTAGCTCATAGGCTGGATTCTCATTTCATTGCACAGACCTAATGTCTGAGTGAGGGGAAGCCATCGTAACAAATACAATCTTTTATAAACACTGAAAAATTGGTAAACACGTGTGGTAAAGCTTTTCTGAAAGAAAAGGTTTGAATCTTAGACTGACCTGCTTTGGGGCTGCAGCGACTGAGGAGGACGGTCAGGGTAAGTTTTGTGGTAGGCTGCAGTGTACATGTGGGTCTTCTCCATGGAGAGGCAGTAATTCATATCTTCTGGAGATGCCATGCCTCCAGGTCACCTCTCATGAAGCAAGTAGCAGGCATCCTTTTTTCACTGGGGTCTTTCTTGTAGACTTCACTGTTACAGGAATCAAGGCAGGCTACTACCCTTGAAGACAATAACGTTGGAAAAAATTGACTTACTTATAAACCAACTTTAAGAAATACACATTATTCTTTATTCATGGTTAGTGTAGCTTCACAACTTAAATCAGGACCACATTGTGGAGGGTTGTGTATGAAAAGAATGAAAAGATGATCCTCAATGATGTTTCAGTCTAACACTGTAAATTTGACTCAGACGAAATGCAAGAGGAGAAAGAGACAGTAATGGTCAATGTGGCAGGCAGTTATGTTTTGAGGAAGGTGTGTGGTAGCACCCAGGAGGAGATGGCAGAGGAATACATGGAGTGCAGAGGCTGGCATGGGACTTCCCTGCTACACACCTGAACTGGGGGTTGGAAAGTTAAGGCAAAGATGAAAAAATTAAGGGGAAAAATAAGACTTATCTTTTGCTTTCTTCTTCATGTTTTTGATGCTTCAGGGGATCTTTTATGCACATCAGCAAAGGCAATCAGAGCACAATGGCAGTTGAGACAAAGAGCAGTTGCTTTTGAATATTAGGAATCGTTGATAAAGTTAACGATTATGATAAGTGCATCTACAGATCCTGTCCCTTTCCAAGGGATTAATTCCAAGGCATCAATCCCAAATTTGTTCATGACAATGTGAAGAATCCTGTCAACATAAAATGGCCTTGAAATTGTGCTCCAAATGCATTATTGACTTCTGCCATGGCTTGGCTACCAGGTCCACGTAAAATATCTGTTTCCATGGCATATTACACTTTGCTTAGCTGAAATACTCATCACTATTTTTTATGCTGACATGCTATGAACAGTAATTTTTTTTAAAGTATCATCCAGATCTTGTGAATATTTTGCTTCTTTTAAAACCAACAGATGATTAGTTATATTTCAGGGGGGTTTTGAAAAGAATAATGAGAGGGGAGACATCATAAGAATAAAGAGAGTGGAGACATCACATTTCCTTTTATTCTGGTGATTTCTCTCTCCTCATAAGAGACATGTCACAACTTTACCTTTAATTGTCAAATGTATTATGATTCTTTGCCCTCACTCCCCAATTTTATTTGTCCAGTCCTAGGTTTCCCTGCATGCACAGTGCCGTAGAAAGTGCATGTGTATTTATTAAAGAGTTAAATAAGTGATAGTAAAATGAAAGTGAAATAAAAGATTTTCAAAAGTTATGCAGGTAGCTGCTGCAATGTAGAATGCATATGGCTGTTGCAGAAAGTAATAATATTTTTGGCTTAAACTAGTGCAGTTATTAGAGGTGTGTTATCCACAGGTGTCACCTGATGTGAGTTTTTCAAGTATCCTTGTCTTGCTAGAGAAAGAATTTCTTGTATACTGGTAACGTTTGATGAGAAATGCTTTGAAATTCCAGTTTGTAAGAGTATTTTGTCCTATCAGCATTCTTTGATCTATTGCATTGCCTGCTATATTTTCTTTTATTGATAAGGTCCCACTTGCCATCTTTTCATCATGGATTTGCTGTTCTCATCTTCTTTGTCCACCTTTATAGATAGCATAATCACTTTCAGCCTTAAAAAATAGAGTTGGCATCTGTTGAGTCTTGTTATATCACAGTTTGATCAGCCCATGATTACTTCCATCTTCTTTTTGCCTCATAGGGCAATAATGAACCCCCAGTACTGAGGCTGCTGCTGCTCAAAGAAAATAGCAGCCTTTAATACAGTGTGTGCTAGAAGTTGTCCTGGTTTCAGTTGGGATAGAGTTAATTTTCTTCCTAGTAGCTGGTATAGGGCTGTGTTTTGGATTTAGGATGAGAATAATACTGATAACACACTGATGTTTTAGTTGTTGCTAAGTATTGTTTATACTAAATCAAGGACTTTTCAGCTTCCCATGCTCTGCCAGGTGCACAAGAAGCTGGGAGGGGGCACAATAAGGACAGCTGACCCAGACTGACTAAAAGGGCTATTCCATACCATATGACACCACGCTCAGTATATAAACAGGGGGAGTTGGCTGGGGGGCAGCAGCTCGGGCACGACCTGGGCATCAGTTGGTGGGTGGTGAGCAATTGTATAGTGTATCACTTGCTTTGTATATTACTATTACTATTACTATTACTATTATTATTACTATTACTATTCGTACTATTCTATTTTATTTTACTTCGATTATTAAACTGTTCTTATCTCAACCCACGAGTTTTCTCACTTTTACCCTTCCAGTTCTCTCCCCTATCCCACCAGCGGGA